TTTAGATTTAATTACTGTACTTTTTTAATGACAAGATGCAATTATGATATCATTTTTTATATAAACAAACCAATTTTTAATGTATCTACATAAAAATATTCAAATGTTCTTCACCCTCTTTTTTTGAACCTTAACAACTACAGTGGAACCTCGCATAATGAGCAATTCGCTTAACGAACAAAATTAATAGTAATAAAAATTAATCGCTTAATTGCACGCTTGTTACATCATTTTTAAAACTTGTGTACACATATAATGTGTATTTTTGAATATGTTTCATTAAATTCGTTAAAAGAGGTTCCACTTTACATATTTTTTTCAAATCTCATTCAGTCCTAATTACTGTATTATTTGACTAACAAAATTCAATCAAAAGAATGATTAAAATAAAAGGAATCAAACATAATTTGTACATGTTTTTTGCTAACAACAAGGACGAATCAAGTAAATGTTTGTAGGTTTAATCAGTGAATTCATTCCATTTATCAGAGGATGTATGTACATTATAGAAATGTATTATAATCTGGGTCCCACCCTCATCTACACGTTCACATGTATTATTGTATAATGGAACGGAATCATAATGATTATTAATTTGATGTGTATGGCGTGTTGCTTGCGTATTACACGAAAGGACGGAATTTCTTTTCCATTGTGATTGCAATTTCATTTCATTAAATAAGCGCTCCGGAAAATTTGCCATTCCCTTACACGATGCGACCTAATGAAACAAGTTTGCTTTATTACTTCTTTATTAATGGAACGAGACCACCCGCAAAAAAATGGGGCTAATTTAATTATTCTATTAAAATATGTGTATCTTTCATACACGGGTTAAAACCCTTCACATTAGCATTTACTATTAGCAAATAATATTTAATAAAATTCATTCAATATTTAAGTTTAAGAAATGATTTGAATTTTGCTTACTTTTTGACCAAATTCAACAAATATCAGAGACAAAATTATAAAATTGTACAATAATTTCTTTATTAGAACAAATAATTGTATTTTTTTTTTGCAAAATAATGAAAGCATACTTAGAGTATTTGAACCTTTTTGCAAACTCAAGAAAAACATTATAAAAACGTACTTAAAGTTACACAAAATAAATTTTAAATTATTTATATTAATTTCTGTTTTAGTTCAAAGAATTGTATTTGAACCAATTTACAAACGAATGAACAAATATCTTCTACATAATTATAAATCAATTTGACTCAAAATAATAGTTTAGAAACGATGATTATCTTTGTTTGGGAGTTAGAAAAATAGTTCAAATTTGAATTACTCATACATGATGGTTTTAAAGTCCTCAATTAATCCGGTTTCAAATAGTGCGGGATATCGAGGGAACCGATTAACTGCACTATACTATATCTCTTTTTTACTAGTGGAGTATTAAAATTCAATTTGACTCAAAATAATAGTTTATAAATGATGATTATCTTCGTTTGGGAGTTAGAAAAATAGTTCAAATTTGAATTACTCATACATGATGGTTTTAAAATCCTCAATTAATCCGGTTTCAAATAGTGCGGGATATCGAGGGAACCGATTAACTGCACTATACTATATCTCTTTTCTTTTAGAGGAGTATTAAAATTCAATTTGACTCAAAATAATAGTTTAGAAATGATGATTATCTTCGTTTGGGAGTATGAAAAATAGTTCTAAATTGAATTACCATGCGACTTACACATGAAGGTTTTAAAGTCCTCAATTAATCCGGTTTCAAATAGTGCGGGATATCGAGGAAATCGATTACCTGCACTATACTATATCTCTTTTCTTCTAGAGGAGTATTAAAATTCAATTTGACTCAAAATAATAGTTTAGAAATGATGACTATCTTTGTTTGGGAGTTAGAAAAATAGTTCAAAATTGAGCTACCATGCGACTTTCAAATAGTGCGGGATATCGAGGGAATCGATTACCTATATTTCTTTTCTTCTAGAGGTGTAATTAAATTCAATTTGACTCAAAAGAATGATGATTATCTTCGATTGGAAGTTAGAAAAATAGTTCAAAATTGAGTTACCATGCGACTTATACATGAAGCACCAAGTTTAGTTAGTTTTAAATGAAGAAACCACTTAATTATTAAGATTAATTGAAAATCGATTGTAACTTTATAATTGTCAAATAAATATAGATGATTGCTGTATAGATAAGTAAGATTTAAGAACAGTGATCAATTACCAAATAACATTTTCATCAAGAGAAAAAAATATTCTTTTCGTATATCTAAAATTCAACAAAATTTATCTTGTTCTAGAAAGAAAATCCGAATTATTGTTTATTAAATAACTAATTAACTTTTATCTTTATTATATAATTGCATTATTAAACTATACGTCTGAGAATCCAAACACAGAAAGAAAGAGAATGTGAGAACGCCTAATGATAATTGCTAAATCGATGAAGGATAACAAAATTAAACGTAATTAATTCATCAACTATAATAAATGATTCTAAAAATTAAATTATAAAAAAATACAACTTTTGATAATAGACGAAATTTTGGTTGAAAGAACAAATAAATTTAGTTAATTAGAAAAAAAAAAAAATAATTGGATAACTAATCAAAATTAGTAAATGAATAAATAATTTCATTATAAACAAGTTCAAAATTTTATTGAAATTGAGGATTAGTGGACAAAATAAAAAAATATTATGAAAATTTGTACTTTAATAACTTAACTTAATTACTTAAAAAAAAAACATTAAGGATTCATAATTTCAATAAAAAGTATGAGTAAAACAAACCTATAAAAAACTTAGCAGGTGTTAAATACCTGAGACAGTAATTTCAAATCCATAGAGGTCCTCCTAGATTTCCCCGAATCGACACGCAGTATTCCAGCGGGAACACTCTTGACCACGCTCGAATCCTTTCCGCACTCGGCTTCCCTTTGACACGGATTTCCTTCCCTGGACTCGTTTTTTCTCCATTCCTTATCCATTATTACAGTCCACCCACGTTTCCTTCTCCTCTCCTTTTCACTTGCACTCACTTTACGCGGTTTACTGAATAAAAATTGCAATTGCAGTTGTTATATAACTCTCAGGACATTCGAAACGCAGCATCCGCAAAACTTTTGAAAACTGTACAACGCTGAAGTGAAGTGTCCAGTATATTAGAGTGTATATCGTGTTGACATGACTAGTTACTTATGCAAAACCACACCTAACTCTATAGGTCGTCTGCCACCCACATCCTGCTGTCCCGTCTGTCCTTTAACCACCCCCTTATGCACATACATTAGCAGATCATATCTATCTCTCTCTCCTGGAAATTATTATGACTTATAATTAGGTTTATTAGAATTGGCGCACTTCTAGCCAATTACCTGTAATGGAAACTAGCAGTTTTTTTTATCGTCCCATTATGACATTCTAAAACTAATGGCTCGCTCCCAATTATTTCTTTTTCATTTTAATTATGTCTAAATTACTCAAGAGAATTACTTAACTCGGTTGAACGCAAATCAGTATTTCTTTTTTATCTGAGTAAAATTAATGCCCCTTTTTTCTATTGATCTATAATCAAAATTTTCAGACAAAGTTATCAAAAGTAATCAGACTTTTCTTCTAAATTGATTTGGAGATTAATGCACAGAAAGGACAATGTGAGAACGTCTAACGATAATTGCTAAATTGATGAAGGATAACTTCATAATCAACTATAAAAAATGTTTTTTTAAATGAAATTATAAAAAATTACAACTTTTGATAACAGACGAAATTTTGGTTGAAAGCATAAATAAGTTTTGTTAATTATAAAAAATATATAAATTTAAAATAATTTTATAAATTGGCAGTATTGCAATAAAAATTAGTAATTAATAAATTATTTCTATATAAACAACTCAAAATTTTCTTGTCATTGAGGATTAGTGTACAAAATGAAAAACTATAATGAAATGATCCAAAAAAGCTTTAATTAGAATATTTTATAAGTTAATTTTGATTTGATTGATTCAATAATTATACATAAATAAGTTTCTTTTTTCATTTTCTTTATGTCTAAATTACTCAAGAGAATTACTTAATTCGGTTGAACGCAAATCAGTATTTCTTTTTTGTCTGCAATTTTTTCTATTGATCTATAATCAAAACTTTCGGACAAACTTAGCAAAAGTAATCATAATTTTTTTCCTAAATTGATTTGATGATTAATACTTAAGATATTATTAGATTATATAGACGTTCATTATTACATTTTTCACTACGAAGATGACTGAAATCTTAATTAAGATGTATTAGCAAGAAGATAGTCTTACAATAAAAAAAAAACTTATTGAGACATAAACGAAACGTTTTTATATAAAAAAACAATGCAAATGAAGAACAAAACAATTAATAAATCACATTAAATGATCTTAATAAAATTACATCAGTGCCTTGCATAGTCCGGTTTCATTCGGACTATTTGAAACCGGACTAATAGATAAACAAAATGAACTTGAAACGGTAGACTTCACTACTAATTTTTTAGAACTTAGTTTTATAAAGCTCAATTAAAATTTAGTTTGTTTTGAAATTTTAAATCCACATTATAGTGAACCCAGATTGAAGATGATTTAAATCTTAATTAAGAATTACAATAAACAAAAACTTATTGAGACAAAAATGAAACGTTTTTATATAAAAAAAAAATCATTGCAAATGAAGAACAAAACAATTAATGAAACACATTAAACAATCTTAAAAAAATTACATCATTGCCTCGCATAGTCCGGTTTCATTCGGACTATTTGAAACCGGAATAATAGATAAACAAAATAAAGTTGAAGCGGTAGACTTGACTACTAATTTTTTAGAACTTAGTTTTGTAAAGCTTAATTAAAATTTAGTTTGTTTTGAAATTTTAAAACCGGACTATAGTGAACCCGAATTGATCGAAGCCGGACTATGCGAGGAATTACCGTATATCAAAAATGATTTAAATTGGAGTAAAAAACAATTTATTTACAATGATATACCTTCATTAAATAGAAGGTAAATTGCGAAAAAAAAATACATTTTTTTAAGTTATTTAGATCAGTGATTCTCAAATATTTCGCAAAAAAATTAATGAAAGATCAATTCTAGATGTTTTCTTCGGGGTGTCGTAGAATCTTTCTATATACAAAAGGGGGTCGCAGATACTTTTTATGTCTAAAAGGGTTTCGCGGACGAAAAAGATTGAAAATCACTGATTTAGATAAACATGACTACTCTGATAATAAATCAATTTAATTAAAATTATATTCCAGAAACTAATTTCATGAGTTTAAAAAAAAATATAATAAAATAAGTTTGAGAAACTCTTCTATAATAGAATTTTCTAAGAAAAATAATACAATTATGTAATGTTAAATATACTTTATTTGTCATATTTCTACAGTACAAAAATCAGTCACGCAATCGACAATCACTATTCAACTGAAATACAATTTGATACAATAGCTTAATCAGCCTTGAACGCATAACTAAGTTTACAAAATATAATAAAATAATTGAAAAATAAAAAACAGAACTCTTAAAATAAATACTATTAAATAATACATTGGAATGTTACACTAAATTGGGATAAAAAATACAATAAAATGAACACAATTCAAACAAACATTCTTCGAAAAAAATACATACAATTTTCGACTTATCTCGAGAAAATAGGTCTATTTTTAATTGTCCTGTCCTAAATACACATATATTGACTATAAAGTCTCTAATATTAACTTATTTATATGCCATTATCTAATCATAAATATACTCTAAATCAGCGTTTTTTGACGTTTTGACAGACGGTGACAGCTGTAATTTCGCGAGCCATTAAAGAGACACATAGGTTAAGAAACGCTGAATAATTATTTTATCAAGTCTTCAATCCGATCTTGTTCGAGTTTGTACGCTCCAATCAAACTTACAATAAACAATTTCAAATTTTAATTATAACAAAAATGTAACATAATTATTAAAAAATGTAATTAAATGCATTAATTATAATATTATTAGAAATGTTTAGAATTATAATCGTAAAATTAATTATAAATTCGAACGAACAAAATAAATTAAATTAACGAATAAAAACGATTCCAACTGTCATCATTCATTTATTTATTACCATGGCAGTTTCTTACTGGACTGACTTAATATTTACAACTTAACATTAAGATAATCTTCATATTTATTTAGATTCTATAACTTTACTTATATTTTTTTCTGCGATAATTATAATGTGTTAATTAAAATACATATTGTCTTAATTTTTAACAAATTTTACCTCGTTTTTTTGATATTTTTTTCATTTGTGAACTTTCGATACTTCTTAATATTATTAATATTTATTACATTGCAGATAGTTCCTAAATTACGAATACCCGTTTTACGAATTTTACTTCGTAAAAACAAGACCTTTCTGCACAGACAACGAGAACATTTTTTTTATCATTAACATTAATATTACACTATTAATAAGTTAACTACTGGAATATTAAAGTTTTACGTAATACTTTTCCTATATAATATAAATAGAATACGGATAAATCTTTATATAATTTGTAATCGAATAATTAATTAGATATAGAACATAGTTATAATTAATTGTATCAATTATAAAATGTCGTGAATCAAAATCAAGTTTTTTCATTTTATATAAACAAAATAATAATTGTGGAATCAATTTCCTGGGAAGAAAATCCAACTCTTCTTGATGCGCTTCTTGATTGACTGTCAAAAGGTCGTTACCTTCCCAAGCTTGAGGCCGAGCAGTTTTCGTTGTTTCCTCGTGCTCAGTTTCGATAACAATGATTTTGTTCCTTCGATGATGGCGCGCTCTTCGTCATCTTCGTCCCCTTGATCCTGGCACGAGACGAATCCGCTCTCCGGACGTGAAATTGATATCGGTTCAAGAAGTTCGAACCATCTTTCCACTTTCGCAGTGGAACTTAACTATATTCAAAAAAGCAAAGAAAATCAGTATTAATATGTGTTGTGTGATGTCTTGGAGATGTTGCAAACATATTCATGAAACTGTACTACCGTTTCTCGGGCAGATAGACTTAGGACCAATAAATTATGTAACTATAAATATATAACATGTTTTAACCATTAAGATTTAGTATCTGTTGTGTTATGAAGTACTGCTCATAATCAAGGCCATCTTATCATTAGGCACCCTGACCGGGCCCACGAGACTTTTTGGGGCCCACAGGAAAAAATAATTCACTTTTTTGTCCATTTAAACTAGAATTCATTTTTTAACCAAAACTTGTTATTTCACTTCTTACATAACCAAATAGTTTCTATATAATAAAAAATCTGTTTTTTTATGTCTTTATGGATACAAGTTTTTAAATATAGTTTAAAATCTATCAACATAAATTAAAGTAATTTAACATGATTTTTCGTAATTTGAGGAGATGACTCTTGAATATAACCAATCAAAAATTTAATAACTAAAAAATACTTTAATAAGTAAAAATTGAGATAAAATTGTAGTCAGATTTGTAATTGTAAAAAGTTTTGTTGTTTTGCATTTTTTCTCATTCTTCCAATATTTGATATCTTGTCAAAATTATCTTACTAATTATACATCTCTTAAGTTTCAAAAGATGTCAAAAAAAAATAGAAGAAATCGGGAAGAAAAACGTAGTTAAATATACGAATAAATAGTTTTTCTTTCTAATATCAAATCTGTAAACATGAAAAAAATAAATAAAACCCTGAAAAGAAAAATAGTAACTCAATTAGTAATTTAATATTTATATACATGTTAGTAAGGATAAGAGATAGATTTGAGACAAATAACAAGAAATATGCTGGATAAGTAGGAATTATAGGGTAATTCATATATTCAATACTGTGAGATAGGCAAGCAGACGTACCGGAACTTTCATTATAGTTTTAATCATTTCAAATATACATTGTATAACTCTGTACAATAAGTGATGTAACAACTATAATATCGATACAGGGCGTACTTGTGATAAGCTAAATAACATAGCTAAGAAATAATGTACAGATTCTGATAACGTTTACAAAAAAAATACTGTCTTGCAGTTAATCAAATGTTTCCTTCCCACTTGATCCACCATTCACATCGTGAAACTGAAAACACAAGAGCTTCGACCAGTTCTCTTCCCACACACACATCCGTAGTACGAACATATTGCAATTTACATATAAAATAAATAAAACACACGATTTATTTTACTTTACTTATTAATAATCTACAATATTATTATTTAAATTTGTGTAATCTTCTCTCCAGTAACGAATCTTATTTCCAATAACAAATTCGTTGAATCTTCTCCCCAATATCAAACAATGAATAATCACTTGGTTGTGTGTCTTGCCCATGCCGTCCTCTGCACTTGTGACATGAGTTCGCTCCTATTTGGGACTTTTTCGCTGGTGGAACGCGTTATGGTGGGGACGGAGTTCGGTTTCAAATCGCCTCCGAGATGCAAAGAAGATAGAAGATTTGCTGTGTCATCGGTGTTTGATGGTACAGGGACTATGACGTGCACTCTCCCTGAACTATCTGTGGTTGTTAACGTACCCATTTGCGAGAGGGGCTTGATGTATCTGGGCTCGGATTTCCTGTCCGGCCTTGAAAGTTGCATCTCCGAACGTACTTGCAAATTGTTCGATTGATTTGGCATTTGATTCAGGTTCTGTTGCGATTGCTGCCTTTGCTGTTGCTGGAAACCCAAGTTTTGTTGTTGTTGCTGCTGCTGTTGCTGAAGGTTCTGCTGGGATTGGTACTGCTGCTGCGTTTGGTACGCGTCGTTGCTGCGCGCCGGGCTCGGCCTCTTGTCCAGAACCGGACTTCCGGTATAAGAATGTCTTAGAGGTATCGGAGATGATGGGAACTTCTTCTGCGGCGGTGGCTGCAGCGTGTAGTTGTTGTTCATCAGTGGATTTCCATATAGGCTTGACAGGTATCCCAGGTTTTGGCCGTAGTTGCAGGGATACTGTGGAGGCGTGTAGCCGCTCAGGGATTGTATCCGCTGCAGGAGCTGGTTCTCGAAGGAATATTCGTTTTGGGGCATATTGAAGTTGAATACACCGCCGCCGGGATTAAACGTAGTCCGTAGCGGCGACGGCGGCAGGCAAGATGTCACTGCTCTGTTCTCTATAAGCCCTTGAGGATTCAGACCTAACGCCTGCAACACTGGGCTGTGCTCCAACGAATTGGAGTCCGTATACTCCCCATGATAACTGGACTCCTGCTGCTGCTGTTGTTGCTAAAGGGACAGAAAATACCATATACCCACTGAGCCACGTCTAAACTAGGCTTGTTAATTCGGCAAACACACACACAACTACGGCTATGTTATTACCTAACACTTAGTTCGTGTGTAGATGTCTAGGAGTAAATGATTATTGTTATCCGGTTTGTGTAAGACCTGTACAAACAAAACAAAAAAACAAAACACAACAACTTACAAAAACGAAAACACTCACTTAGATTATTATTTAATATATTTTTTTTGGGTAAGCCGATGCTGCGGGCAGGTTGCATCAAAATCTGCGACATCAAGCGCGACACAACTGCGATAATAGATAGAATCATCATCATCATATTAGAAACGCAACGAAATAAAAGTCGAAAACGATAAGTTTCATGCATAGTTCAACAACAACTCTTTTGGAGATGTTTTTGTAAAGCAACTAATTCGGGAATTTGGCTCAAGCCATGCGTACGTACCTGAGGCATTGCCATCAGTGGAGAGCTCTGTGGAATATTCGCCGCTTTGTCCGTTCCTTGCAGATGCGATACCAGAGCCGCAATGTGATCCAATAATTCGCGATTGTGAACCAATAATTGGTGGGTCCTAGCTTGAGCCTCCAGTCTTGCACTCTGCAAAAGACACAATCAAAGATCAAAAAACATACAAACATAGAACAATCAATATCATACAGAAGAAATACTACCTAAATCTGTTAGAGTCTAATGGTTAGTACTTTTTACATCCTGACTGAATTACTTTGAATTACAGAATAGACATAGATTTAAAATTATGGTATAAAGGTGCATCCGCACTTTGAGTGACATGAGACATCTGTCGTAAACTATATTCACTGAAAAATAAGTATGTCTCACTGTACGTAAACATATGAAATTTGTGTAGAGTATGTAAAATTAGACTATTTATAAGTTCAATCAACAGAAACTCTACTTTTAGGTATCCGGACTAAGATTACTTTTATTACATTAGCTTACGAAAAATTACAAACTTTGAGAATTAAAAATCTGTACTTTAATTTAAAGATTAGACATCAACGAAAATACCCTAGAATACTAACAACCTAAGTTATTATAAAAAAAAATCAAAATGCTAATTTGAATCTCATTTATGATATGTGTAGGTTACTGGAATGAGAATCAAGGGTAGTCATATCTAAATCAACGCAATTATCTATAATTAGTTTAGAAAATACCTGTTCAGCAGCCAACTGTTCCCTAGCTAATTGCAACTGTGCCATCGCTGCTTGAGTCTGCTGCGTCTGTTGGTCCAATTGCTCCTTCAACAGTTGAAGCTCATGATGCACCGATAGCGCGCTTCCCGCCGCCGGAATGGAAGAATTTCCGCTTCCGCTTCCCGCCGACAACAAGCCATCACTATGCGGCGAAGCATACGTCTCTCCGGATGTCTGAAACCGCAAATCACCATCGATATTTAGATAACTTCCAAATGATTAAGTCAAATATAATTGTAATACCAGTAAAGACTTTTTGGATGTGTTGTTGTGGGTAGGCGGCGGCGCTAGCATGTCCAGCGGTGAAAACTTCGAGTTGTCTTGAGCCGTTTTATGCATTATGCCTTCAGCAGGACTCAGGTCTTTGTAAGATGAACTCTCATCAGGTAGTGACAACTTTTCGCTAGCTGCTTCAAGAGTATCTGGAAAACATGGCGATAGTTGTTTTAATAATTTTTCTCCTAACCAGATGCAAAAAGAAACTATTCGAAGGTAAACTAACCCGAAACGCTCATTTCGTAAATAGAGTATGAGCGTTAATGCGAATAATAAAGTTTTATGATGTTATTCGAAATGTTAAAAGTAAATGCGGTGTAAACACACCCGACTCAACTGGATGGACGTTGCAAAAAAAAAGAGGAGAAGATAGTAAACAATAAAACAGGAAATAAACGTGTGTATAACCGTGCAACCTGTTCTATTTATTTATATAACAAAATAAACCCGACAAACGCGGTTCTAAAATAACGCGAGGATAATCAAAATTTTAACTTCGCTGGTTGCATAATCCATATTAAAGTGTAGGCAAAATTCGAATAAACAGTTTACTATGTACACTACAATGTTAACATTGCTAATTTGATATTCTTAGTTTATTTTTAATGAATATCTAGTATTATTTTATTTTATCATTTTTATTGTAACAAAAGTCTATTGACCTATGTCTTTCTGCCAATTTATGAATAAAATATAAATATAATGGTGCACCCACACTACTCAATTTTTTTATCAGACGTCGCGTGGACGTTAGCAAACAGACTGTTCAATGCATTGAACTTACTTGTACACAAATTGTTTTAATACTGCTTAAATAGTTCATCCACTTTATTTCTTATATAAGGTATAAACGTACCAAATATATATTGCTTTAGTGATTTAACTGGTACACCAACTTAGATAAAATTACTATATTTAGTTACTTTTTAGGGGAATTATTTTTCCAATTTGACACTGACACATATTTGATCTTAAACCAATCACAGTTCGGATGGAGCATTGGTATATAATCATTAAACTAAGTAGTTCAAGTACACAACATTTTTTCAGTGAAGTATATGAATTTTCCCGCCAATTATTTTTAACCTCACAACTATGTCACTTGGATAGATTAAAATGTCTATAAAATCTTCTACATTTATATAAATTATGTAAGTTTTTGGGTTAATTGCTTTAAGATTTTAATACAATCTATAATTAATTTTAAAACTAGAATGCGAATGAAATTACATACATTTCAAATAATATAAAAATAAATTCATAATAAACAATAATAAAAGTACATAAGTCTCACAGCGAATACAAGTTGTTAACATGTGTTATATAATACGTTCAGACCTCTGAACCATGTATTTCTATGACAGTTGACAGTGTCGAGCAAGTGTTATATTTTCTTATTAAAAAAAGTTATTTATTCACACATATTACACTAATATCCCTTTTATATGAGAAACAGATGTTCAGATTCTCTTAATCCTTTGTGCATCAGTCCAAAAGACATAATAATATTATATAATAACTCCCATAGTGTAAATACTAGAAAACAGTAGTTACTTTAAAATATACAATTTTATTGCGTTTTCAATAGAAGAGTAATAAATTTCGTCTCTGTACACACAAACAAGTTTGAAAATACACGTATTATTGATAGCTACTTAGAAAGACCGAAACTCTTGCGTTGACTTCGACTTCCACTTGGAAGTTATTATTGCATGCTTGTATATACATCGAGCCATTAAGATTTCATAAATAAAGCATTAGATTGTATATGTTTAGAGTGCAGTGAATGCGTCCTCCGTACAATATTTTATCGATTACGAAGAAACTTCAAAAACAAACAAAACAATGTGTTATTAATAGTCTCACTTTTAGAATGGTGACATGAAATAATTTATTGTTCCGCTTTTTTTAAGTTCATTTTCTATCGAATTCTATAATGTTATTTTCTTGAGATTGTAGTTTTTAGAGTTTTCTATGAAATTGAGTCTAAATGTTTAAACTTGATTAAATTAGTGACAAAAAATAATTTAATGTTCACTTTATTTTAAGTTGATTTTATATTGAATTCTATAATGTTATTTTGTTGAGACTGAAGGATATGGACATATATTTAAATTTGATTAAACTGGTGACAAAAGCTTCTTTTAAGATGATTTTTTAAATTTTATAATTCTTAAAATTGTCTTTGAAATTAAATGCAAAAGTTTTCTATGAAATTGAGTGTAAATGTTTAAAGTTGATTAAACTAGTGACAAAAATAATTTAATATTCAGTTTATTTTAAGTTGATGTTATTTTGTTGAGACACAAAAGCTTTTTTAAGGTGATTTTATATTAAATTCTTCAAAAAATAAGTTATTTTTTCATTTTATAATTCTTAAAATTTTCTTTGAAATTAAATGCAAAAGTTTAAACTTGAAATCTAATTTTATGTCGACTTTATTTCATTGAAACTGCACGTATATTACAGTTCGCTTTCAGTGAATTTAAATGCAAATGTTTAGTTTTAATGCCCGGTTTAAAGACTGAAAGAATTGAAAAATTCAATTAAATGTATACGTGACAAACCGTAAATCCAAACGACCTAGTTTGCGTGTGTGTATGTTTTTTTCATTTACATCTTGTTATTGATCAAATACTTTTTCAGTAGATATTTTACAAATTTGTCAGGCTCAGCAGTATAAGCTTTTCTTTGATGATCTGAAGGGAGTGTCTGGACAACGGCCAAACCGAAATCCGTTTCCGGACCATTTCGGATTAAGAACACGTCAGGCATTAGCAAAATAATTGCAGTTACATTCAAAAAAAAGGTATAAAGAAAATACATTGAATTGACCAAGAATTATTAATAATTTAGTATGATAAATTTGTCTCAAGTTATAATTTCCTGTAATAAATTTATTTAATTTGACTCAAAAATCAAGGAAAATTTAGCTGAATTGTTTATACAAATTTATCTATTGCTTTGAAACATCAATTTCAAATACGTCTAGTCATTTTTTCGTCCATTTTTATAAATTTTCTATACAGTTTTTAACCAATTATAAGATGAATTAATAATTATTAAAAAAAAACATCTGAAAATGGAGTATTATAAATATAAGTAAAGTTTTTTGTAGTTAGTTAATAACATTTAACTTATGTATAGAAACAGGACTATTTATAAGCAGGAGATTTGACTGATTGTTCATCTAGAGCAGTTTCTCTTCCTATTTATAACTGATAATTGAAGCTTCTCAAATAACTTTATTTCTTAGTAATAATAGAAACAGACTTAAGCAAATGGAAATCATTGTGGAAAATTTTAAGAAAATTATCATTATCTTATATATAAGAAAAAATAAATTTTACAAACATTTTTTTATACCTGTGATTATAAGTAATTATTAATTTTATCAAAGAAATCATTATAATTACTCTTTTTATGAAAATTCCAGCAATCATTCATTTTTTATAATTCATTACATACAAATTGTTATCAAAAAGTAGAGATGATTGACTGTTCATAGTACGACCACAATCATTCATTGAAATAATTATGGTATTACTAATCTAAGTGATATTGATTATAAAAACACATTTAACTTGAAATTGTAGTTTCAATGGTTTTAAGTAAAACATTTTACATTTTTAATTAGTGTGTTCTTTTTTAATTACAACACTAAAAATAGGTGGAAAGAAAAAAAAATAGGTTTTAAGCCAAAAATAAATTAATTTACAATATTTTAATTGCTCAATATTCTCATTAAACAATTTGGGATAATTTACCCTGGTTTGCCGACTCCTGAACCAGACACAAGTACTAGTATACTAGAAACTAATGATAATGCCTATTTTTAGGAGATTGTTCATTCATTGAAAGGTTCTATACGAATGACAGTTTTCGATGGGTATAATAATAACAGACTGGTCACCGATTTTCGTATGAGCAAATAAAAAAAAAAGAGAAAATCCGTACTGACGTCCGTCGGAAACCGAGCACTCCAGTTTAAGAGATGATCAATTCCGTTGTGACCGTGAAGTGAAAGAAACGAACATTTAATAATTAGAAACTATTTTTAACAATATTCTTTGGTGACGCCTTCCCCTGCCAGTCACAACCTTGCTGAAAAAGAAAACACACATACGAAATGTTAAAAAAAACACTCTGAAAATAACGCACCAAAGGGTGCAAAAATGTGATTCATTCGGTTTGCGAACACAATTATAATTAACTTCCGTTCCAGAAATGAGGGTGGATGTATATGCCTAAACTTAGCAACGAACACCTTGCATTATTTTTAACTTATAGCGGATGCAATTTCTTCTGATTTATGTACATTTTTACTGTGGATTCATTAGAGCCTCAATTGCATTTGTCATCGTCTTTGCCTGCTAATTGGTATGAAACAGATAATCACAGAGAGATTTCAAGGTGACCCTATTTTAGATTTTTTGGCAGTCGGCTCATCCATTTTTTGTGCGTTTCTCTTCTTTTTTTTTCATCTTCCATCGTTTGACAAATGTTTATTGCTGAATCCGTTTTGTGGTAAAAAGAAAAGTCATCGTATGCTGTGTATTTCTATATTGTGTTATTATGTGTGGAGCAGATGTTTCATTCACAAAAAGTGTACTGTCTTTGCATGGATAGATGGATGGAGGAGAAGGCGAGAAAGAGAGACGTTACTTTTTGGTATTTTGCATCTGAAACATTTTTCATAAATATTTTCGCGAGCAGTCGAAACGCCTAAAACAAATCTCCCGCTTTATAAATAGATGTGTTTGTACACTTCGGTGGCAAATTGTCCGACTAGCCTCATACTATTACTACATCACTGTGTTATAAGGAAATCCTGCAATATATTTTTTATTTTCTATATACTTTTCTATAGATTTGCAATAGTTTTGAAGACTTAGTTAACATATAATATGTTTCAAACGAATCTTTTAAAAATAATGGTTATTTGACCAAATACTTATATTCTATTACTCTAATAGTGATACTAGAACAATAGTTTAAATAATTAGTATATATTAGTAAAATTTTGTATTTAATTTACTGCTACATCCACACCATGCTTTACATAAAATATAAATCCATGTCACGAGTATAAATGTAACCATACTACTATAATCAATAGTTGGTACACCTGTATTATGTCTTATATCAAACACTAATGACACTGTAGATTAGAGATCTGCAACCTTTCTGGAGTAAAGAGCCATTATTAAGGCAATAATCTATTAAAATGAATCTGAGG